CGACTTTGACCAACCCAGAATAGCAGAGCCCGTAGTTTCGAACGAAGCATTTGCAGGCTTCGGATTGTGCAAGTCCGGCCTTCTGGACGACTCCGCCGGCCTGCAGAGGCTTTGCATATCCCAACAGCTGACCATGCAGGACGGCAGCCAAACACTGAATACTGTCCTGACAACACTGACTGCTGTTGCAATTTCGACATCGTGAGCGGCCCCTGTGTTCTCCCGCGTGTTCTCGTGCTTTGTGGTGTTTGCCTCTCGTGCACACTTAGGTGCTTGTGTCTTTAATGTTACCCCGTTTGCAGGCAGGTGTTCTTCCTGATATGTTATCCCTCGTGTGTTTGTTGTTCACGCGTGCCTCTTCCTCCCAGCTGGGTCGTGGGTCAGGTGCGTGTGTGATTTCGTCATTCCGGGCGGAGCACTTGCCTGTTCCGGTGAAGTACTCTTTCGATCCTCGGGGCTGGCGCCGGAAAGGCAAAACGGTAGTTCTGACACGTGAAGGCGTCAGAAGGTCTGGCAGCTCCGAACCCACCCCCAGCCTGGCTAGTGCCAAACTTGCGGCGCCAGGACATCTTTCACCAGTTGGCAGCAGATTATCCACACGTGGCACTCTCTGTCATAACGAGTCAGCAGGATGCCATGCAGCCTCTTGGCTTGCTTGATCATATCCCAATGTTTGCTCTGTCCAACACATGCAACATGCACATCTGAACGAACGTGTTGTTGAGATACTGATGCCATCGGCATCTATGATGTATGTTAGTATGTATTTATGTATGTAAGTGTGTGGGTGTATATATATATGTGTGTGTGTCCCACTCTGAGACGTAAGTGCATATCTATGTATCGCCTTATCGATATTCATTTGTTCTCTGTCAACTGTCCTGCATAGATGACTAGCCTCACACATGCATCAGTTCATGCATGAATGCATGGTCATGGAGGCTTCAACTTATGTTACATCTTCACATGGAAGCTGTCTGTTTTGCATTTGCCTGCTGACATCCTACCGAGAGCCTGCTGCCAAATCAGGATCAAGATCTACAACGCGGTCTGCATGGCGAATATGATGACGGAACGGGACAGCGCTGCAGAGTGGGAGTCGAAACTCATGGCCACGCTGGAGTCCTACAACAAACATCCCGGCTTTGTCAACCACTTAGTTTCGCAATTGGTCCTTGACACTTGTTTTTGCCGATTGCATCTGCCTGCCTTCACCCTGCGCCTGTTGGGGAAAGTGATTGCAGCACTGCAGCAAGGTAGTGTACCTGATGTCCGGCAACTCCGATTACTTCTTACCCGTGAAGGTTCGCTGCAGCTGCAGTGCGTTCGACTTTGGATATTTGTGCTGGGTACCTAGATGCATACTTTCAGTCCCGAGCTGCAGCTTCGGCGAGCAACGACAGGAGCTCTTCACGACAGATCTGCGTGGCAAGCATGGCTTGCCTTCTTATGGCCTCAAGCTCGTGCAGTGGCTGGAAAGCTTTCCAGAAGCCTGTCAGCACCACCAGGGGCTTCACCCGCCTTTCGATGAATGTGACCAGCAAGAAAACCACTGGGTGGTTGTGTGTGCCGACCGAGGTCTTCGCTGGACAAAGCATTTCCAGCGAATGCAGCGCCTGTGCGCCTGTCCTAGGTTCCAAGACCTTCACTGCTCCGACGGCCAGGCTTCAGCAAGAATCGCTTGTGGCAGTCAAGCCCCGGGATCTCCCCAAGGACTGCTGTGACCTCATGTGCTTTCACATAAAACTGTCACGAAAAAAGAAGTACATGTGCAACAGTTGTTGGATCATGTTGAATCCAGCCCGGGGGTGGGCCAGGAGAGCAAAGATGATGTCGAGCTTTTGCCCAGCATTCGCGTCGAGCCGTCGCTGGAATATCCGTGGTGGTCATACCTCTACTATGCGGCGTTGCTCATAACCGCCGCCCTGCTGTCTCTAGGACAGGGCTTCTGACATCCCCGGTGCTCCATAGGAGAGAGCCTTCAAAAGTGCAGGAGCGGCGCAGGAGTGGTGCCATCGCCTCGCCGGCTTGGAGTTTTGTCCGATTGTTTCGTGCATTTGCCCAAGTATCGACGAGGGCTTACCTACGCTCAGCAATCTCGCACAGAAACCTGACAGGGTCAAGCTTCCAAAGTGAGGAATCCAGCCAGGCCGGGTTCCGAACCCAAGCTTGTGACATGTTTGCCTGAAGTTACGTCATCGTTACCGAGTAGCCAGGGGCTTGCTTCAACGGTCGCTGGAGGAGAGGGCTGCAAACTGAGCTGTTGCAGTCGACGGTGGGTCAACCGTGTCGTAGATGAAACCTGCCGCTGGGCTCGCTGTCCCATCTGCATTCCCCTGCATGCAGCTTCTCCAGGACATCCTTGGCGGACAGCCGCGCAGCCGGGTCACAAGTAAAATAGAGACTCGCGCCGCTTGTTGCTACCTCGCAAAGGTTCTTGTTGAGCCATGCTGACGTTAAGCACACCCCGGGGCCATCGTTCGACAGGCGCAAGAAGGTGGTGGTTGGGACAACAAGCCAGTGCTGGATGCCTTCATCTCAAACATCGTCGTGCGTGGAAGTGCCGCCTCAGTCAGTCAAGTCAGCAGACGTTCTTTTCGACATTTGCTGAGGCCGCACCTCACGCAGCCAAGGCACATCTGTGCTTCAAAGCGGCTCTCGAGTGCCTCACGTAAGGTGGTGCCTATTCGTTCTTGCTCGGAACTAGGTCCAACTATCAAGCAGTTCATTTCAGGGTCAATGATGTTGGACGTTCGGGCCGAATAATTATGCTCTTCCTCGGATGCCTGGTTCAAACTGTTCAGGTTGCTGCCTTAACCGAGTCGCTGAAACGTAGCAAGGCAGGCAGCCTAAGCGTGTGTCTCTTTGTGACGTGTGTGTAGGTAGGTGGGCAGGCGCACCCACCCTTCCACGCATGCCTGCTCGTGGCGACACAGAGGACTCCAGAGGACACTCGCGTGTAACTCGGGGTCGCTGTTGTGCGTTCGGCAAAAAGCGAGATGTAAGCCAAGGAGCACAGACGGGTGCCTAACTTTCACTTTCGGCAGCTTACATGTGGCATGTCGGGGCACAGAAATGGAATCCCAAGCCATCAGAGGAAAATTTCGAAGCAACTTCTTCCCTGAAGTTGATCCAGTTTGCGCGGCGAGACAACTTTTCGACGTGAACCGAAAAGAGAGATTCGAGATGCGTTCAGACAGCCTGCAGAACTGTCAGATCGTGTGACCGGCACAACTTTGCAGGTGTCAAAGTACATCACCCCCTCACAGATGGTGGTGGTGAGCACCAAGGCGTGCGTGACGGGGCATCAGCAGCATCTCAACTTAGACTTCGACATCCATGCTGGAGGTTGATCTATCGTCGCGTACAGAGCATCTCATACGAAGTGTTGGGGCAGGTCGGTGATCTTGTCACCTGCATCCGTGCTTCGACAATTGATCCTTGGTTGCAATGTTTCGGCTTCATTCGCGACACCTTGATCAGATTGAGAAGATATATTGCTGAATCAATGCTTTCTGCTCCATGTGCTTCGCTCGACTGCTCAACCATTGGAACCAGGACAGCGAGGCCTTGATGAAGGAAGTGACGGAAGAGGAGTGGTGCAAGCGCGCTCTGTCTTGACTTTGTTGAAGACGGCCGTTTCAACTCCAGGAGATGACTGAATTCTTCATTTATGCCGGCTGCCCGGGCATTGTGCGAGGGTTCCGTTTTGACAGGTCTTAGCATGGTCATGGTCGTCGCTGCACTTGTTGTTGCAGGCACGAGAGGTGAACTCGGCAATGGCAGAGTTTCGCACGCGGAACACCGGGCATGTGTGCAGGCATGCTACATGAACCTCGGTCTTCCAGAAGTTCGGTTTTCGATGAGAGTGAATCTCGCAGGCTGATCTCTGCAAACGATTTGACGGGCGTCTCCAAGTTTCCTGCTCACCCCTCGGCCCTTTAGCTTTTCGTGCTGAGCTCGCTGCGCCAGAAATCTGCAAGGATCAGTCCTTCCAGAACGCATTGACTGGCTCTGCGAAGCGGGCGGGGCTCCCAGAAACAGAGCCCACTTCAGTGTAGCTTTCGCCTCGCTGCAGCGAGGCTGTGACTCTGTACCCTGGCTACTCCGGCCCTACCGTTTTGCTGAACCTCCCGCCAGGGTCTCAACAGTGCACATGGGCAGAGTCATGCTGGAACTCGCGCTGCGTGCAGAGCGTTGGCTCGGAGCTTAAATTGCATGAGGGGCAGCCCAGGTGGCTGGCCCGCATGTTGGTATCCATCCTCACGCCGCTTTTTCCTGGAGCAGTGCGTGAGAAGTTCGCATCTCAGAAATCTGCTTCCTCCAATCAGGCCAGCTGGCACAACATCAATCGAAATCTGTGCACATGAGCCCGGGCCACCTTGCTCAGGATAAAGTTCGCCAGGGGTCCTATGGCTTACATGAAGGACTTGGAGGCCTGCGTTGTCACAGCTTTGATGCGCCATCATGTTCGGTTGAAATGCTACGGCCACCTCCTTGCTTCATTAGCTGGCCTTGCTTCGCTCCCCTGTGTTGTACGACAGCGCAGGACGTGATCAAAGAGCCCACCAGGCCAGGTGGTGCTGTTTCGGGTGCCGATTGGGGATCTATCATGTTCACAGAAATCCGGAGTGCCCTGGTCCAGGGGTATGTTCGTCGATGACTTGCAGGCTGTGTTGAACTCCTGAGGCCTTTGCCAGGCTCTGAACATTCAGGGCACCGGGTATGTTTAGCTTTGAAAGCCAACTAGCCTCGGGGCACATGCACAATGATACTCCGGGTTGTTTGAGTCTCGATATGGATTCTCTCGGTTATTGCTTTTATGATTCTCTACAGACACGTGGCAGCGTCGAAGTTGCAACTGAAAAAGCGCCTTGCATGTTTCAGTTATATATCAAGTATCGATCTTGATACACTGCCGTCCAGTCCAATAATCCTTCTAAAACCCGATGATTTTGGACGCTTCGCATCTTGACATATTATGCTATCGCTTTGATACCTAGCCGCCTCGACGAGCTTCAAAGTTGCTTGAACTGTTCTAGTGAGTCTGCTGGCGAAGCCCTCTCTCCGGCCCAAATCTGCACGCTTGCGCAAAGCCTTTGTCAACATGACCCGTGCCATTTGGGAAGCGCTTGTGCTGCGACAGAAGGAGCAGCTCATCCTGCCGCTAAGCTGCACTTTTCCCGCAGTCCGGATGCAGGATGCTGCTGTCTTTGTTGCTATTGTGTCGTCGTCCTGGCTGCCGCCGGCTGCGGCTGCGCTACGGCTAATGCTGCTGCTGCCTATGGTGGCGGCGGCGGTGGTGCTGGCGGTGGTGGCGAAGGTGCTGGTAGTGACGGTGTCTGTGCTGGCGCTGGTGCTGGTGCTGCTGCTGTTGCCTGTGGTGGTGGTGATGGCGGCGGCGGCTGTGGTGGTGGTGGCGGGGGTGGTGGGGCGGCGGCGGCAGCGGCGGCGGCGATGGTGGCGCTGCTGCTGTTGCCTATGGTTGTGGCGGCAGCGATGGCGGCGGTGGTGGCGTTGCTGCTGGTGGCCTTGTCTGTTTTTTTGTTGTTGTTGGTGCAGCTCCTGCTGCTGCGGCAGATCGGCAGCACAATATGATGGAAAACCTGCGCAGTCAACATCGCCTCAGGAGCATGATTGTGTACAACGGCTGGCTTGACGACGAGGATGGCTAAGGCGCATTTGCTAAGATTTGAGGGTTGAGGTGCCCGGGTGGGGAAAGTAGGCTGGGTGCATGTGCTGGTGTTGATGCCCCAACATTTTGCACCACTCTATGCGTTCTCAGCTTGGGGAACCGCTTCAATCTAGTATAGCGAATCTCATGAAGATAAAAAGTGCAAGCAGCAGGGTTTCAGGCTCAGAAGGCTCACACGGCTCTGGGCGCGAAGTGCAGTTGCGGCCGCTTGAGTCATGAGGGCCTCAGCAGGAGCAGGTTGGTTGACCTAAGTGGATCATTTAGCAACGCCAGCCCCCAAACAAGGGTGCAATAGCAGGCATACGATAGTCATGAGTCATGGTCCTTGTTTTGAGGGCTGGGGTGGCTGAAACATCATCATTCTTGAATGACCAAAAGGATGACTTGATGGGAGTGTTGGAATTTGGAATTTCCTGCATAAGATGTGTGCTTTTGGGTATCCCGCGCATGAAATTTAGTCCTTGCGACGCTGAACGAAAAGTCTTGAACGTTGCTGTTGGATTCCCTCCGGGGCTCATTTGTGAGATTTGTGTAGCTGGATTGTAAGATATTGAATGACCTTCCCCTGAAGTGGCCATCTTCAGATACCTAAAGTTTTATCGTTCCAGATAATAACCCTAAAACCCCTGAGCCGGCTGGCCAGCCAGCCCAAAGGGGAAAAACCCTTTGGTATTCCTGTTCTGAACCTTCATGCGGAACCATAAAGAGAGGCAGGCCTCATGGCTTGGACCGAGGATCGTCGTTCAAATAAAATCGGTCGTGAGGGAGGGGAATTCCTCGATTGTTAGCACATGTTGATTCCTCTGCCAGCCATTGTCGTAAACATTGCACCGTACGCGTTCAAACCCATACCCGAAAACCCTGAATCTGGAACCTGACAGGTTCCGGGACCTGGCGTGCCTTGGTCGTAACTTCGAACTATATAGTTACTCTGCAATAAAATGTATGGTGTTTGGTTACTGTGAAAACTATTGAAGCTGTCAAAGCACAAATTACCAGGCTATCTTAACACTCATTTCCGGAGTAGCATGCTAACCCCCTGGTAGCAGGGCTGGTGCAAGTGGTAGTGCCTGCAGGGGTAGTAGCAGGAGCAGCAGTTGCAACAAGAGGCGAGATTACTAAGGCCCTTGAAAGCTTAAGGCCTTGAGCGAAGTGTTGCCAAAAAAAACCCAGAAGCGGTCCAAATCCGTTTTCACTAAGATTTCCGGCCCAAGGATGCAGGTGTCACTCAGCGAGGACAAGGATGGCGAGTGATGGCGGCCCGGCTAGTCTCTAGCTTCGACACCGTGCATCGCACACCCTCCACGAGGCGTTCACAGGCAGTAAGTCCTCACCTCACTGCAAAAAGGTTGTACGCTCAAGCAGTTATACCCATCTAAACGTGCAGCCTATTTTGCTTAGGGAAGACAAGCGCATTTTGCAGCATGCTTGCATGTGCTTTGAAGCGGATCTACAATCCAGATGTTTTTCAGCTGAGGGTCGGCGGCCTGTTCTTGGCTTTTTTCTCCGCTGCTTTTGCAGTGGAATGGGCGCCTGAACAGTAGTAGTGGTGGTCAAAGTAGTAGTCACATTTTTGGGAGCTGGTGTTGGCGGTTGTCTGCGGTGGCAGCAGCGGCGGCGTGGCGGTAACGCTCGTGGTCACGGTAGCGATAGCGGTGATGGAGGCAGTGGTGGTGCCGTAGCAGTAGGAGTAGGAGTAGGCGGCGGAGAAGCAACAGCAGCAGCGGCAGCAAAAATATAGGTAGTCTTATGGGAGAAGTCATAAGTCATAGCAAGTCAAAGGGAAACCCCAGTTCATCAAGTTATGAAGAAGCGCTGTGACGAAATGTTTGAAGGACGAAAGCCCAATGTGTTGAGATTTTCTGATTGGGCTTGCAACGTTAACAGGTGTTGCAGGGGCAAAAGGGGTGTAAGATTTAGGGTGCAAGGACTTGGAAAACAGAATCTTGAGCGGGAAGTCAAGCCCTGCAGAATTTAGATTTATTGAACGTCTTTTAAGGCTTAACTCACCGGAAACTAGACATGCAAGCGGCTAGCTAAGACATAATTAGAAAGCCCAAAATCCTGAAAATTAGCAAGCTCGAGGCTAGGAGTCGTGAAGTGGAAGACGCACAAAAACAGAATGGGTCTGAAAACCAGGCCACTTTCCTTTTTTGCTGAATCTGGTCTCTATATTATATATTGTATTGAGAGCTATGCTAAACCCTAAACCCAAAACCAAGATTGCTTATTCTGCCGGCTGCAAACTGGATGTCAGGGCGTAGGAGTTTAAGTTTTCTCGAAGGGGTCTGCGCTCCGTAGGGGTTGAAGGTGCAAACACGGTTGAAATTAAGGTTTAGAGTTTAGGAGATACTATGAATCGTCACGACGAGTTTTTAATTTCTAAATCTTGATTATAACACCTTAACATTCGAGAATCTGATCTCTTCACCACAAGGAGGGAAACAAACCTTAAAGCATTGTATTAATGAATTTAGATCTACTTGTGAATCGTACGGATGGGCATTACATTATCTTCTCGGCTTTCGACGAGGTGGGATCGGGACTTTGGGCGCCTGTATGGAGTATTTATAAAAGAAGAGGGGGAGCGGCCGATATTATTATTTATAAAATAAAAAAATCTTAAGATAATTGAATTTTTCTTCTTTATATAAAGATATATTATAATATTAAATATTTTAGTATATTCGATTTTATTCGATTATATTATAAAAATATTTGATAAGATAATAGATAATTTTTTATAAATTAATATTTCATATTTTGAGTATTCTTGTAAAATTTGTTATATAATATTTAGAATTTATTTTTGTTAGCATAGATTTACATGATGAATAAATGATTTGGTATTTTTATTTTTTTCTCTATAGTCTGGATATTCTAAATCGATTTTGATATTTTATGAAAAACTTGGAGTTATTATATGAATATAAAGAAGCTATTTATAATTTTTATATGTGAAATTATTAGATTCTTTGGTCTTATTATATATGAAATTTATCTTTTATTCTGATTTATTTTATAAAGTTATAAAATTGATTTAAGATCTTGGCTCTTAAAGTTTAAGATTCCGAGATATTTGAAAGATAGTTTACGAATATTCTTCTCTATATTCTTCTTTATAAAATATATCTTTTTTATTATATAAAGATCGCCGATTTGGGAACCGTCGCTTGTAAAAAGATTCGGGGTATGGTTATATTATGAAAATACTTGGTCTTAGGAGGTAATTAAACCATCTATATAAATTTCGTTGAAATGAATAATATCGAATTTATCGAATATGTTTCGGAGGCTAATTATAGGTGGCGTAATGGCGAAATAATTTTGATCTAACCTCGGAATTATTTATGCTATAATTAAAAGTCTTTGTTAGAAACTAAATATATATGATATAAAGATGATGAATTTCTATTATCTTTATTTGAATAATCTTGATATCTATAATATTTATTTATGAGATATATGATCTAATATATTTCTGATTCGTCGAATTTGAGTAAAAAATTATTGATAATATAATGATAATTTTATTTTATATAAAAAAATATTTAATATTTATCCCCGCCTTCTGGATTTTATTTGGCTTTTGACTTCGGATTTATGATCTTTATTTTCTGGTCTCTAGCTCTTATTCGGTTTTGCATTCTGGTTTATTATTTCGGGAATTATCTCGAGAGTCTTTGAATATCTGATTTTAAATATTTGGCTTTTAGTAGAGAGGCCAATGAATAGAAAATAAAAATAAATCAAGAAAAAAAGCAGAACAACTATTCTTAAATTTTGGTATTTATTTTAATATTTTCAGAACAATTTTTCTTTCAAATAAATAAATATCCAAGGCGGGAAAGAAATAAAGAAATATATAATTATCATATTAATTACTTAATAAATGTCTTAATGCCTTTTCTCTATTTCTATAGCTATATATAGAAAAAATATTAAAAGTAAAATATTAAAAAAAGAAAGAAAATTTCCACACTATTATGTCAA